AAAGATCTGAGATAGAAGATAACATGGGGTTAATAGTAAAGAAAGATAAAAAGATAGACAGAGCTGTATGAAGATAGATAAATAAAATGAAGGGAAAATATTGATAAAGATATTACATGAGAAATTGCCCTATAGAAAGAACAAAGAAAAAAAACCTGCATCAATAACAACGTTACGCATGTGACCAGAACCCCGACCAACAACAGACCAAACAAAATACTACTTTACCCCGAATGGCCCTAAATCGGTCAGTTCGGAGTCGGTTTGGCGGTGAAAAAATGTCTCAAATAATATTGTGTTAACAGTAGAAAGGGGAGGAATGGACAAAACCATATAGAAATAAGGAAATCATCTCTGACCAACAGTGTAAAGCAATCTGGCGTCTATGTGCTTTCCAAAGAGAAGACATATCGGAGATAGATAAAAAGAATAGAGAGGGGGAATAGACGATGAAGAATGATCTACGAAGATGCTAGAGATGAGAGCTCTCTAGAAATAGGGGCAGCATTAAAGATGACGCCGTAACTGGAGCGTCCCCTTCAAGTGCAAAGCCCTGCGCGACAGATCTGCCCCAATTGTTCGCACATGGAATGCAAGGTCACTCTCTGTCCGATGTTCCCAAATCACGTTTGGCTGACGTGCTGATGTGACCAAACTATTTTTCTCACCGTCTTGCGACTTTAAAGGAAGGGTTCCACGCTGCCAACCAAGAATTTGAAAGTATCATTAATTTATGACTGAACAACGAAAATAATAAATTAGACTGAATAGAGTAAGGAGCCTATTTTTTTTTAGCCGTGTTTGGATTTTAAAGGGAAGGTACATCACAGGCAGCTAAAACTGTTCGGAAATTCTTGACTGAAAATAGAAAAATAAAGAAAACAAACTGAAATTAGAGCAATGAGAATAATTTTCTCGTCGTCTTGCAACGTTAATTGGAGGATACATTACTATCAGCCAGGCGATCAAAAATGTTTGAGATTCATTATTGAATAGTGAATAGGACAAAACAAACACTGAAAGATAGAGCATGTAGGGTTTTACTGAATTTGTTCACGACATTAAGTTCGTGATCAAATAACACTTTCGGCTCGTAAACGCTACATATTCATAAAATCACCTCAAATTGGGCCGTAAAGGTTACTTACAGAAAACTGTGATTACAAGTAGGCAACGTGTTGAAGAAAGAAAAAAATAAATCAGAATTTGCCTTATTCACTCCGGATTCCAAGGCATGACATTTGGAACACTGGCTGTTCATGACATTGTAATATTTGAAATACTCCTGTAGGACGATATTTCCTGTGCAACTGGTATAATACCTGTTACAACTATAGCCAAATGTTAAGGGTCGGGGCTTGTCAGGAGCTCAGCAAGAACAAACTTAACGAATAGTATAGCTTTCATATTAAATAATGATTACCATTGATGAAAATGTCTTCAATCTATTTTCCGAAAGCATAAGAGAGCAAAATTCAACATCCCAAATTATTATCCATACCTTGCACTGTTTTTTCCAAATCTATTTTCTGACTGGTGTAATATCGATACTGTGTGCTTTCAGTGTGTGACCTTTAGCATAACTACTCAAATTACTAATTTACCGAAGAATGCATACAGGGCGGACTACTTTTGTAAAGACTCTTTTTTCCATAATGTATGTTGTGACATTACTTGTGATCGGGGGTAATGAGGTATCTATAGTAACAAGCAAACTCCGACTGCTCTTTAAAGTGAAAATGTTGTCGATGTTTTCTGTGACCATACTGGTGGGATGTGAATACGGAAGGACATCAATCAGCGAGTCGATTACTATCCCGCATGTCTGATGCGATTGAGATGTATCAGCGCATTTGGAGAATAGCTTTCAAATGTGATGCGATCACGTCAAAGTAGCCATTTTGAATTGACCGAAATGGAGAGGCGGGATTCCTATACATAGTTACGCGTGTCGGTATTTCAAGCTTAGGGACCGGGCGGTGACGATAAAGAAAGTTTATAGAAGATGAGCGAAGGGATTGGTTATGTAAAATCTTTCGGCAATCCTTCCATCAACATCCAATGATCCCCATAAACTTAGGATTTAAGGAATTACTTAAGCAATTTCCAAACACTTTTTCTGAGATAGGATGGATATTTCACTGATAAATTGTAGTTCTGGGTTATCCATTTGCAGCCCCCAGAGTATGTAATTATTATCGCCAACGCAATCCACATAATTATCCCTTGCAACACGTTATCCTGTGGTTCCGATGAAAGAGTTAAAATTATGTATGCCTTCATACTTCTGGTGCATTCAGTAAATCTTTTTACTGTATCCAATATTTTAGACATTCATTTGGATCTAAAATATTATTATTCAAGACATCCTTTTTAAATTACAATACAGCTTCTTCCACTAAGACATTCGCGTTTAGTTAGTAATCTTTAAAAACTCATCAGTGCAATGAAAAAATAGACTTCAAATTTACTTGAACCTGAAAAGAAAGGAGGACGCGTATAGATAAACCTGCTCTAGATATACAAGTACAACGTTTACACCGAATGGCAGGGTGAAGGTAAACACACGCACACAAAGTAACCCACCCTCGCGCACACACGCATGTCATGTGGCGCAGTTCTGTATACACCGTTCTCCGACCCCATGAGGAATTCATTTTCAAGCAAAGATTTCAACGGCTTCTAATTAGCCGAGCAACTGGTATAGCAGGCCGCATGAAAAGGTGAAAACAGCACTTATCGCTGTGTGTGGGACTAAAACGTTTCGGAATAAAGCATGACATGCACTAAAGTCCGACCTACCTCTCTAACAAGCACATTCTTCCAAATTTAACTTGTGGAATGGATAGTGCAACCGTGTTTTGCTAAACCCATTCCGTCATGGGTAGACGTGTATGACAGGGAGTCAGCCAAGCACAGCCTCGAGACACGCTTAACCCAAATCAATACCAAAAAACACAAAGAAAATCGAAAATGTTGGAAATAACTTGCACCTGTTTGGTCTAATTATCTATCTTTATATTCAGCATGGAAGTTCTTAGATTATACGTGTCGTGAACAGGCCTGCCCTTAACAGATTTTGTAATGACGTTGTCTGAAATCGAACTTCTTTGTTATCTAGAATTTCGGTTGAAAATAATTGAGGGAGGGGTATGTCTGCCTTTCGATGCGCTTTATTAAATGAAGTTTATACATGCATTCAGCAGAATATAATATATATGAACTAGCATGGTCCTGGGGTTTCTTAATCTGAAAATACGCTGAAAAGAGTGGTATTAATGTGATGCCAAAGTGGAATATAATTTAAAGAAGAAAAATACCGAATGAAACACATTTCTGTTAATAAACTGTATCACTTGTTAATCTCTTTCAATGGAGTATTTCATGTTTAAATTTCACAATTGCTCATTTAGGGTGCAATTACCATTTTGGCTCAAAAGTATAAACGTTGTCATTATCACGTGTTTATTCTGATATGAGTAATGCTAGTCCAAATTAATGGAACCAAAAAATTTTGGTATAGTATTGCACCTATTATAACCTGATAGTTGTGTATTAGAGTATTGAAGAAAAAAACTTTAAAAAAATGATTTTATGTTATGTTAAAGAGGTAAATCATATTTATAATATTAAGGAACCCCATGAAGAAACAACTGCTTTTTGGCATTACAGCTGAAATGGGATATATCCGTTGTATTTGAAACTTTAAAATTCATTATGTTTGTTGTTCATGTTTTATTTGATTATGGAAATAAAAACAAACAGACAGACACAATTTGCACCTCTATTCAGAGAACAAGTATGCTTTGCCATTTGGAGCATCCTGTGAAATAGTCATTTGCGAATACATGTTCATTATTACATTAAATAAATTTCGAGCTTGCCGTAATAGCCCTACCACGTGAGACGTATTCATGTATGCGTTCAAAAATATGAGAGTTTTTTTGTCTGATATGCATTCTACTATAGTCATAAACATCTAAATGAGATTTTGCCATTAAACAAAAACGTACGTTAAGTGTGATAAAAAGTTTATCCTTATCTGTTATTTTGTTTAACATTATCAATCATTTCTATAGATATATGTGTATGACTACTATGTTTATTACTTATATTTCATTTATTCGCTAAACTTAACTTAAGCATTAGCTTTGATAGTCATTAACATTAACACATCATTAAAACTGATTACAAGAACCCTTCATTATTAGTATGTTTTGAATACCGAAAGGAAAAGAACAGTTTTGCCCCTTTAACTAAAGGCACTACATCCTGAAATAAAGTTCAATTCACTTTAAATTCAAAGGACAATAATGTATTCTGAACTGATATGTGTTTTTTTTTAAGTAGTTAAGTACTTTATATTTTGTGTTAGTGCCACATGTTTCATTTATCCTTGGCGGAATTGTAATAAGATCTTCTTTCGCTCTTGTGTGAGTGCAATTTAGTCAACAATCAGTATGCTTCGTGGTTAAGAGGTTTTGATATAAATCAATGGCGGCGTTCACTTAGTGCGCTATGAAATAATTGAATTTAATTGAATTTCTCTATTGTCATGCACAAAATAAAATGGAGGCATAAAAATCGTCTTACGAATCACATTTGTATAAAATGTAACAATACATTAACATATCATAGACGAATAACATAAATAACATAACAGTGTAATGTAATTTAATCTCTCTGTTGAGAGCCAGGGGAATTATTTGATTATTTGTACTCCCCTTGGCTCCCAACAGACAACACTTACTTAAATATATTCTAGAAAATGTACATGATAACAATCAATGTCATATAAATAGAACAAGTCACAGCCAAGATCTAAAATCAATTATTCATCAATTGTTAACAATTTCAGATAAAAAGTGTTTATTTTTGGTAGTAGACATAAACCCTCGTGTCTGCAATAATAATTCTGGGTATAACATGATTTTAATTTGTTTCATATGTAAATGCTGATATTTTCCTCTCTTTTCGCCCTTTTCCTTCGCAGATACCTGACTTCCGACACGATGACGCGTTACCTGGGATTTAAAGGAGTTATCTGAATAGACTGATCTTGCCTTAGTTGTGAAAGAGTCGTATATATCTTCATAACTATTATGTGACAGAATACTAGTAAACGGAAGGATCCTCATATTAAAGAAAAGGAAGGATCTTCGTATAAAAACCAATTATCTTTTCAAAACAACGGTGGATTTCATACAGCTCTGTGTAACACGGCCTAGCTGCTAGAGATGTAAAGGAACATTGCAACGAATTCTACAGCATATATCATTACCATCCCAGACGGGGAACACGAACTCATCGTCTATTCCCAGTTGCATATCCATGAGCTTTGCACTTTCATTGCAAAATGTGAAATCAGAATTCGGTGAGGAGATGAAGTCATGAGATACCCGGCTCCGTTATTATGAATTTGGATTAGCGTTTGCTAAGCTGCTTTACATTTTGATTCCACGCGAGGATAAGAAACACTCTACCCATCTCGCGCATAAGCAATATTTTTTCTCTAGTCACTTGTACCCAGGAATTTTAAGGATATTCATTAAGGTTAGTACCCTTAAGCCATACTTTGACGAGAAAAGGCGATTTGTCTTGAGCGGAGCTACGTTTACCAACGCGCCGATCGACCCGGGATATATCGCGGCAGAGCCACGAGGGAGTTGTCAGTAAAGCCTGGTGGCGGCTTTCGGGAAATTACTATGCATGGCGGTACACCAGACGTTCAGGCTGCCGTGATTTCGCAAGTGATGCTTTCACCTTCTTTTCTGCATACTCTCTCTCTTTCTCTCCGTCACGTGGCGGTTCGGAGTTTAGAGAGGAGGTAAAGGAATGGAGCGACAAGATTTTCTAAATCGAGCATATCCATACTAGAGGGCTTTAATCAAAGGAAACTGATATAAAGAGTGATCATCGCTTCGCGTAGATTAGCATACGGTTGAGGGTGACATCTGCTGTATTTCTGGGTCAATGATATTGACCCCGCGATAAAAGAGACGACGGGAGAGCTAGGTTTACATCTTCTTGCCTCCTGAAGGGACAAAAGTCAAGCATGTCTTGGAAATAGATATAGAGCCGATCTATATAAAAGAGATCATGACCCCTTGGTCGATATCATTTTAGTTCAGTTCAATAGTTAAAGGAGTCCGGACCATTGATTCCATCATGTCGAATTCGAATTCGTCACTCCTGCAGGCAGGAGAGGGCGGGCTTCTACCTGATCAACATCAAGAGTTCAATATTTTGCAATTGAGCCGTCGAGCGGCTCCGGAGCAACCAGGGTTAAACTTCACGGCAATAATAGCCCTGCAACCGAGCACCACTATACTAATACCAATTATTATGTTTAGTGTAGGATTGATAGGAAATATAATAGCCTTAGGAGTATATTATTGCTCATCATCATGGCATCGGTCCACGGCCTTCTATGGAATACTCCGTGGGTTCTTCATCACCAGTATTATCGGATATCTGTCTGTCTACCCCATTATGATAGCTGTCCATATTAACGGCTTACACTGGATCGGGGGATCAAGGCTATGTGACTTTCATGGGTTTTGTGTCCTGTCCTTCGGAATGTCCCTAGCCTATATGACAGGGATCCTTGGTTTTGAGCGCTTCCTCGCCGCATGTCGCCCGGTAACGTACAATCGTAAAGTAGAACCTCGAAAGATACCTTTTGTGCTTGTACTGCTATGGGTCGTCTCCATCTTCACAGGTATCTTACCTCTTGTAGGGTTTGGACGGATCACTTTGCAATACCCGTCCACGTGGTGTTTTATTGATTGGAGGGACGAAGAGACAGTGGGTCGTCTGTTCAGTAGCGTGCTAGCGACTATCATCGTCGCAGTCATCCTACTCGTGATTGTGTCTCTCTTTGCCGCGGCCATTGGCGCGCTACACAGGACTATCAAGAAGTGCAAAGACACTACGGCAGACAAAGATAATGAGAGAGGACGCTATAGTTTGACTTTGACGATCGATGATAATTCACATAGGATACCAAGGCGATTTTTTGCAGCTGATAGGGCTCTACTGTGGGCCACGATCCAATACATCCTTCAAGCAAGTGGATTTTTAGTTTGTTACATTCCAATAGTGGTAAGTACTTTTATTGCCTCATTTGATCTGGCTTACTCTCATGGTAGCAATTAAAGAAAAAAGATCGGACAGAAAAAATTATTAAGTGATTAAGTGTAAAACTCCAGCTACCTTGTTCTGTTCTATTCAGTATCAAGAAACGCCATGTTTGGAAGCAGCATTTGATGATGGACTAAAGAGGATAGGTCACACTGAAACAATATTTGCGAGTCTATTATAACAAAAAGAAATGCAAGTATATTGATTGGTTACTGTTTTTCATAATTTCTGTTTGATCGTACCATTTCTAATTGCTATGTTTTTCAATCATCTAGATGAGAATAATCTCCAATGTCTCAGGGCAGCCACTCAACAACTTTAAGAACATGGCTGCGATGCACTGGGCTGAGTTCTACCCCGCCTTCTGTCCCTGGCTCTACATCCTGTGTCACGAGCAAATCTGGATGCGCCTGACCTGCAGACAACCTGCCTACCGGGACGTCCCCTACTCCAGACAAAGCTTACGCCGTCGCAGCACCCGCAATAGGCGGTCATCCAGTCGCGGTCACGACTGCATCCGGGAAGCCAGCGTCCGCAGCCCCCGGGAATCGTTATCGATGGGGACCAGCAACCACGTCAATGTGGTCATGCACGATCACGTGGATGGTTACGCGGTGGACAGTAGACAAGAAAGCTCGAGTAGAGAAGAAGAACCAGTTAGGGGACGATCGGCCAGGAAAAAACTGGATTTCATTAAAGAGGACGATGCCTCCAATGGCCGCTCCCCACAGAGGTTAGTAAAGGGTAGTCATGTTCATCTTTAAATGACCACTATGAGGATGTTTCTAGGACCAAACTACCAACCCGACGGATCCCACACAATTTCATTCATGAATATGTCTTAAGAGAATGTTCTTCTTATGGGCTAGTTATCCGTGTATATTTCCTTGTCATAGTTTTCCATAGGTAGTTGCCCGAGGATAGTATTAGGGGTTATTTTGGAACTGCCTGATGCTTATAATCATAAGGAAAGGAAACAAATCTGCAGTGATCATGTTAATATTGATTCACTTATTTGAACAAGCTATTACCCTTCATAGCTTCAATGTTACAAATTTGATTACCGAGAAGACTAGTTTAAACGTATCCTACAAAAAAGCAATGAAAATCTTTCAATATCCTTATGCCATATTCTTACAACACATTTAAGTCCATCTCATTAGCCGATTGTGTTTCGCATGTACATGTATGTAAAATGTATATATTTACCACGCCTAATAAAACATGTCCATGTTTTTTTTTCTATCTTAAACTGCAGTCCATCAGCGGCGAATTCTCCTGTAGGCCTACCAACATTACCGACAAAAACATCCCCACCGGGTAAAGTTAGATCTTTATCGTCATCATCGACAGTTTCATCATCGAGATCACCTACAAAAGCTGCTCCACGATCGCCATCATCGTCGTCCACAGCTTCAATACCGAATTCGCACCGGTCACCATCGGCATCATCCGAACCTTCGCTTCCCAAATCGCCGAGGACCGACACGCCACGATCACCAACCGCGGTGTCATCCCCGCCATCATCCATCACGGATCCCCTTATATCGAGTACACCAAAGACAAAACTCGTAGTGACGAACAGTTTTCCAGTCGCAAATGGGCCAATGATACAGAACCATGTCAATGCCACCCGAAGCAAAAGCAGCGCTGCTAGTACAACTGGCGGCAGTAGAAGGAACAAGAAAGGAGAGTACAGTCGTGTACCGACAGAACCAACTGACAGTGTGCCACCAGCAAACGTCGTATCGAGAAGAAGCACTTTCGCAAAGGCTGGACGCAAGGAATCATCTATATGAATGACTGTTGACATTAATTCTTTCAGAGATTCTCACGCTCTCAGACACCTCTTGAAATTTCTCATGCCTTAGACTCAACTTAGGAAATATGCTAAGGGTATACTGATAGCGCGCCAACGAAATTATTATTATACGAGAAAACAACTGACCCAATTCGTCTTGATCTTCTAGAGAAAAGTCTTAGGTAAAAGGCCTACTACAGAGAATCACATTTTGTAACAGGATTGAGATATCTGTCCTCCTACTTGAAGAAATTCTTTTCTGGTGCATGTGACATAAGAATTAAAAATTGGAAAATAGCACGAAAACAGACATTCTAAAGCTTTTCGTCTTGTCCTCAATCGGAGTGAATTCTAAGATTGAACAGAAAGCCGAAATCAGACCAAAGTATTACCTGCCAACATCCATTTCATTGTAATTTAATGGTTTATTATGATATTCGTACATTGAGTGATGTATCTTTACTTTAATTTATTTGATTCTTCTTGTTTGTGCGGTGTGAAATCGAGCTTTAATTAAAGAACCAAATAATATGAACATGCCTTTTATAACGAGGTTGTCCTTCCAGTTGCTGTATATGTTTATAAAGATTGAATTATTCTTGTGCTTGAAAAGCACACATTTTGTAAAATTAGAAAGTTAGACAATTCTGTTTTTCTTTTGGAACATCTAAATTCCTTTAACAAGGATATATAATGGCATATACATTATAAAAATGATGCTGTAAGATTATTTTGAAAAAATGGGATATATCCGATGGATGATATTGGGGCATTAGTAGTCGAAAAGAGGGAATCAAGAAGTTTTTCATGATCTAGATTGAGTTTTATGCCATAATAATTTCCTCATTTTTTAAGACACCGTGAAGCGGTTGCAGGACTGTTGAACAAGTATTGCTATAATGTTCACTATAATACTTGCATCCCTACATACCCGAATCTCTTTCCTTCATTCTTTTGTCTCTCCCCGTTTCAAAAACTTCCATCTCTATTTTTGTTTTCTCTCTCTCTCTCTCTCCATCTATCTTTCTATCTACCTATCTATCTATCCACCCATTCATCAGTCGTTCAATCTCTTTCTACATCTCCCTCCTTCCTCCCCCTCTCTCCCTCGATACCATGACTTGTGTATCGCTGAATTACACACAATTTACATCGCATTTGTACTTTTTGGGGTTACATTTTATTTTAAAGGTCTCAAATATTTTCCTTCTATAACATTGTAAATATAATTTAATTTCTTATGATAAGACAAAGTGTAATTTCTAACGGTCACGCGTTTCCCAATTTAGAGTTCCATAAATAGGTATTACATTAAATGGTTACCTGTTTCACATAAGTTTAAAGAACCAATGACATTTTGGCAGCAATTGCAATCACAATATGTGTAAAGCTACATTTAGGCCGAGGTCATAACCCAACGGAAATATTTTCAAAAATCCAATTTGTACAGGTCAATATCAATCAATGTCAATGTACATCACGTATTTATAACATATGATCGCTCTATTTTATGAAATATAAAAGTTTTTTGCAATCACATCTGCGCGATATGCCATATTCTGGAAGTATTTGCAACTGCAACGAGTATTTCTCGAGGAAAGTATGTGCTCGATAATGCATATCTGAAAGTACTGTATTCATGAACCGTTTTACAATGCTTGTCTAGATAAATTATGTAAATATTTGATTTGTTTATATTCTGAAGTGTCAATAAAATAATACATGCGAGGCAGCATATCATTAATTGACTTCTTTACTGCATGATTATTTCAGTACACGTATATTTGGTAATAGCCAAGTGGTTGTATGAAACAAGATAGCAAGGATTCCGACATGACAAGAAAGAAAGAAAAAAAGATACAATGACATATACATAGAGTAGATTTTTCGGGTACCAACAAGAACATTTGCTTTGGGGATTAGGCCATTTTCGTAATGTAACCAAATTTAATGCATAGGTCTTTGTGAAGTGCCTCAATACAAATTATTTCATTCACCTGATAAGAATAATAGTATTTCAATAGACAGAATCCGAACTGCATACATTAGTTGTTGCCAGGTTGGACAAATATTATGGCTTGACCTACCTAGCAACACTTAATATATGCCGTTGCATTCTGACTATTGAAATACTATTATTCCTATCAGGTGAATGAAATAATTTGTATTGAGGCACTTCACAAAGACGTATGCATTAAATTTGGTTACATTACGAAACTGGCCTATTGATCCGGATTTGATGTCGTCAACAAATAAAGGGTTAGGTATAATGTTTTGGTCTATTGTTAAAGGTAATATGTCCTATTTGCAGCCAACATCAAATTCTGTAGAACTTTGCAGGAATTATGAATTTGTCATGTATGTCCTATCTGTGAAATTTAAACGTTAGCAGTGTCCTAATATTCAAATTATGCAAGGAAACCCGTTTACTTGCTAGACTTCACTGTCAGACACTATTGAGGGACTGACTGACTTTGTTTCCTTTGGTGATAACATACATAAAATGAGCTGTAAAGAGTACATATGCATTTGTCTACATCAATAACCCAATTCCTCTAATGGCCAAAATTAAACTGAATCTTTGCGCAGCACAAAACGTTCGACCATTGGGTACAAGGGTCTGAAAATCAGACTATTACTTTCGTAATTACAATCACGATAGTTACATTCCCACTTAAAGACATTTTCAAGCCCTTTTGTTTTGAGAGTTTTAAATTAGTATTATCTTTCAAATGCCATTGGAATTTAACCTTTCCATTTTGTTGACCTGCAAATGGGACATAGTACCTTTAAAGTTTTAAGCCCGAGAAGTGTTAGGGAAAAGTCCCTAGAGCAAGTTTGTAGCCAGAGCTAGCGTCCTATAAATCATTACAGAGAAAAATAATTCAAATGAGGTGTATCCCTTTTCCTGTTTGCATACATGAAATAGAGAATATCAATAAAAAAAATTCTGAATTAGCCTTCACGACATATTGTGGATTCTATCGCCCACTCATTACATTTCAAAGAAATTCATTTTGGCTGGTCGTAAACAATTCTGAAAATAGTATTCTTGGAAAAAAAGATGAAACCTCTGTTGATCTTTCTTTCTATTTTCGTTTTCCTTCTTCTTTTTTTTCGTTCTTTCAACCCTTTTTTCATGATATAGAAAATGGTCATTAGGACTATATGATTGCATGCGCTAGTGCCCTTCGGTAATGCATTAAGGGGGTTACTTGTATTTAAAGAGCAACACAATGTTTACAACAATCCGTATAAGGTGATAACAGAAAGATCAGAGAAATATATTGGTGATATTGGTGATTTGATAAATAAATGATTGCCTAAGGTTAATTTTTGAAAATAAATTTGTTGTGTTCGATATTATTTGGAGTCTTTGGACAGTATAAGATTAATTTTAAAGGTAATGCAAAGTTTTGGGAAATTTTGAAAATTGGTTGGATAGTAATTATTCTTTAAAATGTTGATATATTTGGATGCCCCTGTGGAGGTATTATAAACACTAGTGACAACGATCATTGAATATTGTAAAATCGCATATGCTTCCAATATGTTCATTTGAACCAAAGTCATGGCCCCATACCAAAACTTTGTATTGCCTTTAACAAAGATCTTGCTTAATTAATGCTTTAAAAATGGCATATTGTGATGCCTCGAATGGCCTACCGTATGGCATGGCGTCAGACTAAAAATCATTATGTTCTAGTCATTTAAACTTAGCTTCACACATACAATAATCACAAGACTATGACACATATATCATATGTTGAATATTTAACATTAATTTTATTAAAAACTATCATATCTGAGATCATTAAACTTCAAATCATAAACTCCAGTGAAGCTCTACGATCATCATGTCATATACATGTATTTACAATACTTTGCATATTAATAGGTTAAAATTGTTCAGATCCGAATAATAGGACCACAACCCTTTACCACAAACTTCATTTAATTCTTTATCAATCGATTCAATTCATTTAATAACAACCACGCTGAATGCCAAACATGCCATTACAACTTGGAGTAAAGCATTACTCTTGGCTATTAAATGTTATCCAAGTTGCATGGTTTATTGTTGGCATGTAGATGTACCAGAAAGTGATCAAGAGGTACCATTCAGAATGTTACAAGAATTTTAGGCTTTTTTTCTACATATGATGGGTGTGGCATTGGGAGGGGGAAAAAAAGCCTTCCTCATAAACAGGAGATAGATAGATTTCCTAGTTTTCATTAGAACTCATGTTTACATAAATCTCTATCAAAATGGCACAATATTTTATTGACAATGTATTTCATGAAGACATCATACAGACAGGACTCAATGATAGCAAAAGGCAGACATCAGCGTACATTAGGTGCAACTAAACAATATTACACCCCTAATCCTAATCAAGGCCATCACGAGCGGGAAGTGCTCTTAGCTTTGTAAAGAGCATTTCAATCTACTCATCACCCTAAACCGTCTTATGGTTGAATATCTGAGAAGTACTCGCGAGAGAAGCACTGAACCTACTAAGAGGACAGTTGAGTAGAAATATATAATTTGAGTCACTGAACCACATACAATCTTTGCAACTCACTATCATATCACAGGCCTGTCCATTCAATTACCAATTAACATCATAATCAAATCACTCATGATCTGAACATGCTGATGAAACATATTGATATCACAGCTGTTTGTTCTACATATCTAACCACAATCTTGATTCAAATACACCATTTAAGATTACATCATTTTCATTACGTCACTAAAAACATGCATGTAATTATAAAATTGAAAAGATAATTGCATCAATCAAAAAGAAAATGTAAAAGAACATGATCATGAAAGTGTAGAGATTTACAAAATGACATCATGTTTGTAGAGGATATTGCCAATAAATAAATTTAGGGGGTAAAAATAGCAAATGAAACTCTGGAAGAAACTGAAAATTATAAAAGATCCTAAATTAATATAACAAACAGTAAGAGAAGTGTAATGGGTAAAATCTTTTCTATAATATTTTTTTCTAGAGAAATGTTGTTAATCAACCTGTAAAAATATACATGCATATCCATGCTAGCACCCCCTTTACAAACATGGTGGGATTATATTCAAGTCAAATTGTTATTCTATTCAAGATGAGGGTAGAATAGCCAGTCCACGTGCCTAATGTAGGTAATAATCTGCCTAGAGCCAGACTAGATTGGTTTGAATTCTGTGAGGTCCCTCCAAATTTGGAAGCGCTTAGTGATTGTAATAAGCGCTATATAAAAACTGAGTATTATTATTATTATTACCGACTCGACTTATCCATAATTATCTGTAGTACAAACATATTTACAGTTATGGCATGGAGGTACTAGTAGGTAAGAAACAAAAGAGCTACACCAGCTATTGAAACGTTGATGCAGACAAAGGCTTAATTCATTGCAATGCACAACTCATTCAGAATATAATAAAATAACAATATTCTTTTCTTGTGTACTACATATCACATTATGACCCCCCCCCCCCCCCCCAAAAAAAAAAAAAAAAAAAAAAAAAAATCCTACATGCATCTTAAGATGTCTGGAAATTGCTGAATACCTAACACTACCATACTCTCTCTCTCTCTCTCTCTCTCTCTCCCTTTGGGTTGCATTTGTATCTCCAAGGATTTCATCAAGTCAATGACCAATATGTATAAACCGATGCAATCCAAAATCCATGCACAATATTATCAATGGCTACTGTTTATCCACTCTCTGGTGAAATGTATCACAAAGAGCATCATAAAGTCAATCAATCAGTAACAGAGATCTATAGATAGACCCTGAACCAACTTTCAACCAATCAGCAACAGATCTATAGACCCTGAACCAACTTTCAACCAATCAGCAACAGATCTATAGACCCTCAACCAACTTTCAACCAATCAGCAACAGATCTATAGACCCTCAACCAACTTTCAACCAATCAGTATTTAAACGGAGATCTATAAACCCTCAACCAACTTTCAACCAATCAGTAACAGAGATCTATAGACCCTCAACCAACTTTCAACCAATCGGTAACAGAGATCTATAGACTCTCAACCAACTTTCAACCAATCAGTATTTAAACGGAGATCTATAAACCCTCAACCAACTTTCAACCAATCAGCATTTAAACAAAGATCTATAGACTCTCAATCTACTTGTAGCCACGTCATACCGCCATTTACAATATAAATAGATAAATATTTACAACCCTTTGTGCAGTTTTAAACCATCAAATTCCAGCTTATTAAAGATAAACTTTAGTACTGGTACTGCGATTGCATTGTGAAAGAAAGGGTGTGGAAAAGATCAGAAACAGTTGATCATATAGCATGTAAGTATTGGTGTCCACTGCAAGGTTCTGGAGTCATCAAAATCATAATAAATTTGACCGAGTCTTGGTAAAGTAACAAGCACTGTACACAGAAAGCTATATATGGGACAACACATGGTGTCGGGCTAGTACTACCTTGATTTCCTTGTCTTTCTATGCTCATTACTCAGCCAGTATACATTTTCTTCCAAAATTGTTTGGCACATGTCATTTATTTGTAATCGTGAACATTCAGTGTAAGTTTCGTTTGATTCTGTGAGAATTAATTTTCTTTTTTTTACCAGAACTGGAGTTTATCTTTAATGTAAAAAATACCTTCACTTCAATCTATCTACGAGATGCAATGATTATTATGACATGTTAATGATATTAAATTAATCTTTTTGAATTGAAGATCATAGAATACATGGACACCTTAATTGCAAACTCAATATTACCACCGTATAATAAGGCCTGTTGAATAAATAAGGGTAGTGCTAGATTACTAATACATTGCATACACAATCCCTCTGTTTCATTTATCAAAATAAATTAAAAAATCAGTATCGGAATGCCACACAGTTTTTGCATTCCTTAATCAACTACCTTCATTACTTGCACAAAAATACATTTTCAATGATTTGGGAGAGACAAGAATGACATGAAAGGTTGGGAGGCATGAATTACTCATCACTGGTAGGTATATCATTACCTTGAGCAAACTACACAATATGGAGTGGTCACGCATCCCTGTCTTTTGTATAGCCCTTTCCCAACGTCAAAGGTCACACTGTGAACTCACAATCGGTCGCTGATAATACATAATCCGATTAAGAAATTAATGGTGTACACACATGACATGTAAAATGTTACCAATTTATTCTAAAATGACAGTCAAATTTTAAAAGCTGCGATAAATTGATCACACATACACCATTCTTTGACATTTTTTATTAGCTTACACAGACTTCACCACTCAAATACAAAGTTCCCCATTGGCAGGGGATGCAAAGGTTAAAGGGTTGTCAGGCAAGGAATTGGGATTTCTTCATAGGGTTCTGTGTTTAACGCGACCATGTGCGAGATCTCAGAGTGAACTTAGCGGTATGGAGGACCCGGACAGACACAGGGAAATGTGACCACTCGATAGTGTGTTGTTGTTGTTGTTTGGTATTATCGGAGTTTTATTCTTTTTTAGAATATTTATTGGTTTCCTCAAGCTTATGATATTGCACATGAAATCAGATTTTCATTTTTTGTTTAAATCTGAGATATTATATGATGCAAATAAGCAAAGGTAAAGGTCAGGAACGAATGAATGAAACTATTAAATTGAATGTCAACAAACATAATGCCTTCAGGTGAAAGATCCAGGTTTTCATGGTAATGTTCAACCTCTTTATGAACAAAAGAAAGCTTAGCAAAGCTAATCAATAATTCAATTGCTTAGCCAACAACAAAAGGCACACATAATTTGATGTGCATGGGACTGGAAGAAGGACTAACATGTTTTCTCTCTATCCATCTACCTCTCTTTCATGTTTCTATCCCTCTACCTCTGAATACTCCCCTCCCTTCCCTTCCCTTCCCTTCCTTTTCTCCTGCTCTCTCTCTCTCTCTCTATCACTCTCCGTATCTCTTTGTGTACATGTATATATCTATCTTGCCATATCTCTCTCTCTCTACCTGTCTCTATCCCTCTATCTCTATTATTGAGTCTCTATTCTCCCTCTGACTTCTCCCTGAGAACTGCTGCCGCCAAGATTCTGATGACTGATGTAATCTTGGTTAGCTGGTCCTCGGTCAGCGTCACGTTGACTGCAATGCGTATGCTGAAAGAACAAATGGAGAGTTTGCTTTCAAAATCTTATGTAGTATCTTAATGACTTTTAAAAAATAAGCTATATTTACTTCAACAAAATGGGGTCAATATAGGCCCTTTTCAACATAGAATGATTTTCAAAGGGGTCCACACACAAATTTAAAAACAATTACCAATCAATATTAATCACATTCTCACAGAATAGCAACAGCCATCTTGAAACCATGCATTCATGCACTATACCACTGAATCCAAAGTACCCTCTACTTGGGGATACAACATCACATACTGATATTTTTCTTTATTTCAGATTGTTGTGTACATGAATATGTTATACAAAATCAAGTAATAGCATTCGCAAAATAAAATCCACGGTATTAAGCTCTTGATCAATCAATTAGTCAAGTGTCCACATTCGTGCAAGCCTAATGCTACAGACTAATTGCAGGACGCGTACAATAATTCAATGTTGGTATTTTAAGGTTTCTTGGCACAAAAGTGGCTAACATAAATATATTTCATGAATGTTGTTTCAAACTAACTCTTTGTTGACTTTCTCTATTTTTAAGACATCCTCTCCTCTAAACCATCCTGTTGAATACTTCAGTGTGACACACAGGAATATGTGAAGTACTATGTGCACCATCTCTACTTGACTTACCTTGGTGGTGGTAGGAAAGCTTCTTCTTCCTCTAGATACCTGGCGACAGTAAGCACCACACCTTCATCTAATGCCTGCCAGGGTGTACAATAGAAAATAACAGTCATTGCATAACAATTGCCAATTATCACAGTAAAGAAAATGTGATATTGTGTATGTGACACAGCCTCCTGGCCAAAATGGAAAAATATATAATCAATCACCCTCCAAACACAGCTATGTGAAGTGAAATCATCTGAAGATTTAAACAGAGAGCAAACCCTCATTTGTGCTCAAATGAAAAGTATTCTGCACATAATCAATAATTCTGGAGGAAAAAATGGGCAGTCTGTAGTCCAGCAAATTTATTGCATAATAAATGATAGAAATTCTAAATCCTATTGTTTTTTGTTTTTGTAAGATATACATCTACCTTCACCATAGCAATTTTAGTTACTTGCTATCAATTTGAATCTTTCCAAATATGGCTTGGATAATGAATCTCTGTGACAATATGTTGGTGCTATACTTAAAGTAGGCCTTTCACTAATCACTAATTAGATTTCATCGCTTTTCAAATTGTGAGATTGTGGCTTGCCGTTGCACGTCATTCAATCTTACCCTGACGACAATCTTTTCCAGGAATGCTTGGTCTTTCTGCCAATCTCCACTGGTCTCCTCCAACCTGAGATGCTTGATGGGTGAGATGGGGTCACCATCCAACCGGTAACCAGGCAACCTAACACAAACAACAATATCACAGAATGAATGTCTACATGTCTGACCCAACGTCTGCGGTTGGGGTTGCAACTGGGTTAAGGTTAGGTCTAGGCTTAGGATTAGGGTACACTGTTTGGCCCAGGGTGAAGGTAAGGAATGTAACTAATGTATGATATAAACCACAGTAACTTTTGGCACAGCATGTGCAGTACAACCCCATACAAAATGCCCTCGCAAGATGTCCTATTTTACTAGATTTCATGGATATTGTAATCTAATGCAAAGGCAAGATTACAATTTGATTGCTGATTCATCAAATTTAGGGATACCTTCAGCTTTATGTGATAGTGAAAGTGCAGTCACCCTCAAAGAAAAAGAAAATATTATTTGCCATATAATTGTTTATTTGGTTAATAGTCACATGCCACTTTGTAGACATTCTACAATAGATTTATTAACAAAGGCCAACGTAAAGAAAAGAACCTTTACAAAGGAGAAGGAAATATGTCATCTCTTTTAAAATACAGTTATTGAAAGATTGAATGAAGAACATAAGTTTCAATATCATTTTGCCCCATTCTCTATTCATGAATGAATAAAGGAAAATGCCTATTGATCCTTCATTTTCGAATCTATAACTGTTATAGGTCTTAATTCACATGTACACACCACTTGATTTAAGGTCATATGTGAAGAAGAGAAACACAGATCATCTAACTCACCCTGAAAGCTGTACATGAATAAATTCATTATTTGACCTCAACTTCTGGAAAATATCAGTCTCTTTCTGTGTAATATCTACTGCCATGCTGGCTGCCGAAGCGAGCATGGGAGGTAGAGAGGCCGAGAAACAGTAGCCAAGCCCAGACAGACGCTGCAAGGAAAGACAAGTATTGACAATGTAAACAGTATAAAGACTAAAGGTATCTAAACCTGTCTTTATTTTAAGGTTTTTATATTTCGTTCTTGTAACTATTTAAATATACTTGTACATGCTTATTTTTTACTTTGTAAAGCACATAGAGAAACTTCTGTTTATTATGCGCTCAACTATGACCGGTTTATATTTTCTCCTTATTTTAATTTCTCATCATAACAAGATCAATGACGAATCTACAGAGAATGTATTTTCACTTCAGATGATTGTGGGGTTTCTTGAAAATATGATGATTGTGATGATTATTTCTGGCACTGCGCTTGTATTTGTCATGTTTGTTCATATTCAAGAACTTGCACTTCAATTTTATCTTTACAAATAAAACACAAAACTCTGTCCATGTAAAAAATCTTCTAAATTCATGGGGTTTTTTCTCCTAAAATATAAATAAAACATTTCCTTGTACACTCTTAGTAACCAAAATCAATTTTCAATACAATGAACACAACAGATTATTTTCAAATTCAATCTTTGATAATACGTCATATGACTGAAATGCAGTTTCAATAAAATGCACATTATTGTATTATATGAACAAATCAAACATTAATAAACACTACATGGTTACGTTTATTTCATTCTTAAGCCTCAATTCAGATTGCGTTGGTAAACAGAGCCTTTAGCTGCAGCCTACTGTATCGTATCTGAATGAGCCTGTACATCAGAGGTAGGGAAATCAAATCGTTACCTGGTGATCAACAACGTATCTGGTACCAAGACAAAACCCTCCCATAGTACCGAGGGCTGCTTCCATTGAAACTGAAATTAGATCAATGTCGGTTATCTGCCAGGAGAAAAAGACAAGAAAAGAGTTTGTGAGGCTTAGAAGAGTTCAGATCAATGGCTACTATGAAACCATCAAACATGCAAGGTTACTATAACCCTAAGTATGAGATGAATTACATACATTTTCCAGTGCTTTAATCTAAAAGCTCAAATGATACATCATCAACTTTTCCTATTTTAAATGTTGAAAAGTATAGTTAGATTTTACATTGTTGCCTTTGTGGTTTTCTACATACTTTTGCCCCCCCCCCCCCCCACTCATCCTCTCCCATAAAACCGCACCCTTGAAGGGAATTATATATGCAAATAATCACTAGCTTATTATACTCACATCAACACCTGCATGCTCTGTGACTCCACGACCTGTCTTTCCAAGTACAAAGAAAGACATGGACTCATCCATGAAGACACGCACCTTGTACTTGTACTTCAATTCAATCTAAGAATAAACATAAACAGATTTAAGATGAAAGAGAAGTGCACAGTTTCAATTGCTTTGAAAGAAATAATGCACTTCTGCTCTTTTTCATACACCTCTTAATTTCATTCCAGAAAAGACATAGCATTTGTTATATGATAAACATAGAAAAAAATGTGTTATATAGAAGTCAAATCAATGAGAAATGCAAGATCATCTGTCAACTTGAAATCTATCATTTCAATTAGATGATTATGCATTCAACATATTTTTTTCCTCCCCTTCTCCTATTCCTGCCCCTCCTCCAACAACTTATCCTTTTTTTTTTTTTTTTTGCTTTATACACTTCTGTTATACAATAACTGGCTACTTCATCACTTGAATACTATTTCCTTATTTCAAACAACACTATTGATTTACTTACCAGTTTCTCAACATCAACAATGGTTCCATGGTTGACATACAGCCCTTCTACTACGATGAATTTCCTCATCACTTTAGCTTTCTTAGGATTCTGCAGAAAACCGGAAAATATAACTTTTTGTTAACTTCATTTGTACGTCCTCCTAATGTTTGGTTCATGCACTTTATAGGTATGTATTTGTAATCCTGATATGAAATTTGCTTTGTATAAATTAGGGCTGTGCACAACAGTGTAATGAGGTACCCGAGTACACTCCCAGGCTCCCAGGCGAATACTCGAATATTCGGACGCCATGTTTTTTATTATTTTTTTATTTTTTTGAATTTTTTTGAATTTTTTTGAATTTTTTGGATTTTTTTTGAATTTTTTGATTTTTTGATTTTTTTCTTTTTTTCTTTTTTTGCCACTACCATACCACTCGGCAGTTTCTCAGGTCCCTCGCTGAAAACGCATGCAACTTTACTTTGAGTCGCAGTTGAAGGCGCCGATTTAATAAGAATAATAACAGTAAACAATGCTGTTTTAAAAACCAAAGATGGCAAAATAATCCATTTTCCTCCAAGTCCAAACAGAAATCTGGACATTTGGTCCTAGTTTCTGAAAGGTGAGTTTGACAGTGCTTGAGTTGGGAAACATTTTTACCGACGGTACCATGCCAGCGGATGCCGCTCTCCCTGGCACGGGTTAGCGTGGGCCTGGACATTTTTTTTTTTTTGCGGCCGAATATTCAAGTAGTTGTCAACCGTGCGGGTACTCGAGCATTCGACTACCCGTCGCAGCCTTAGTATAAATCAAACCAACTGAAGATGAATTTCTGAAATAAAGACAAATGAATCAATGTATTCAATTTGATGTGAAAAGTTATTCAATAAAAATCTAAAGTGCTATTACAATAGTGGTTGACACAGATAAAAAATAGCTTTAACTTGTGGATTTTTATTTAAAAAAATAGACATGGTTGTTTCATATATTTTGTGATGATGAAAAATCTAACTTTTACATCAAGGGAATGAAAAGGATATATTTTTTCTCTCTCTCTCTGTGCTTTCTGCTAGCAGTAAAAGGCTTACTATGGTGAATGAGATATATTACTATTAGAGAGAGCATCTAATGAAATGATTCATTTCAAAAGGCTAACTTCACCTTAAAGTGGTAAAACTTATAACAAGGTAAAGCTCTGGAGAATAGACTTAGAAATAGCATCTACATAAAAGCCACTCACCTTCTTGTCTTCTACAGCTTGCTCTTGTAAGAGTCTCTCTAGATCGGCCATGTTGTTATGCTTAAAGAATTTGAGCTTGCTGCGAGATGCTAAGAGGCCCATCTGAATAGCAAAGCTCACCCCTTCATCACTGGCAGGTGAAAACAAAACAAAGAAAATAGTCGTTTTTATGGCAATCCAGAGGTACAGAACAAGGTGCCCAATTTCACTGAACCATGTCATTTTCATAATCAAAAGCTTAATTGTTAGAAAAGAATCACAAACTCCCATGTTAAATCTCAAGAAAGTGCACTTGCACCCTGGGCCAGTTTATACATGTATATGAATATAATTTGATTAAATTATTTCAAAATATCAATTTTCAAAAGAGTAAATGGTACAATCTCATGTTTTACATAATTTGTTTAGCTGTGCAGGAAAGTTTGGAAAGATTGGCCCCCTTGCAGCCAAGGTTTTGGGGAGGGTTGGGCATCGTCTCCCAGACAATAAAATCTTTTGAACAGACCAATGAGACTCTAAACTTTGACCTCAACTTCTCATTATCCTTAGATGATTGTAGACTGTTCCAGAGTCATCTACAGAGTTTGGCCAACTTGGTTTCACTGGGTCACAACATGGCGTATATTCTTTTGTTTTGTGCTTTCCCAACAAAGCAGTAGTCACCATATTGCGTCCAACTCGAACCGGGCTTGCTAAAATCTGTATATACATGTAGATGGCTCTGGACTGGACTGTTCGATTCGTACACAGTATTTCTTTTTCTACAGAAGTTTAATCAAAGTATTTATATGTGTTTAGTCTGCAACAGGTAAATAACTCACCAGAAGACAAGATCGCCCTTCTTGGCATAAGCCGGGATGGCACTGGCAATGGTTGAGAAGCCATAGGAATACAAGATGGCCTCCTCTACCCCCATGTGTTTAGCCATCTTCTCTTCAAAGTTAAGATGAACATCTGTTGGACAATAGTAGAAACTGAATGTTATTGACTTTTCATTAATACATATTTACAAAGCATTGTGATACCATTTTTTGTAGCTATGAATCCAGTTGAAGCCAATCTTATATTTGTCAGAATTTGTTTCTGATTCGAAAATATGGAGTTACGTCTTTGTGTCACTGAACCCTTGATATCATAAATACAACATACATAATAGGCAAGGACCTCTAAGAGGCAATATATGCTTGTAAATGAGGCCCCTATCAAGATAATTCATTCTAGCAAGTGAAAATCCCACTTCAGATGCTGTTGTAGTAGATCATTCATGAATTCAGACTCACCCATAGTCCCAAAGAACCCTCTTGGCCCACAAGTACCCACTCCATATTTCCTCATAGTCTGTATCGCTGCATCCTATGAAAATGAAACAAAGTAATCAAGAATTACTATCCCGAGCGGAGCCGTAAACTTAGACTGTACTGAATCCACCAAATGGGACAACACAATCCATTATCAGTTTATCGTAGATAGTGTACATAGTTCAAATTTTCAAGGGAAACTGGAATTTCATTAAATTCATTTATATACATTTTAGTTCGGTTGTTACAGATAATGTGAATCATGATTTGCCATTTTACATTTGGAAGTTATAACTTTAAAGTTTCAATTCATTATTAACAAACTTTGAATGAAAGAAAAATGAAGGACAACACTGTTTACATGATCCATCTCAGATCTCTATAACAACTTAGCAACTTTGGTAATATAATTCAAATTTCCAATCAGCCCCTTGCTTTAACAAATATTGGAACTTTAAGTATTTCTTAAGTTATAAGAGCATAAATGTATTTGAATAAAATCATCAATTTAATGCACAAAGAATATTCTAAAACAAGCATGGAACTCTTTAGATACCATAATATTAATCTGGGGGTGTTTCACAAAGACTAAGATCAACTTTAAGTTGGACTTAATTTTGGCAGGTCATTCATGTCGCCACTGGTTGCTCTCACCATTGGTCTCTCAATTATAATCTTTAGATAATATTTTTTCCTTCAATAATGAACTATCAAAAAGGGTAAATTCTGTAGATTTGTGACCACGATTTATACGTCCCTTGAGAGACCAATGTCAGTAAAAGGTGAGAGCAAACAGTGGCATGAATGGCCTGCCATAGTTATGTCCAACTTAAAGTCGATCTTAGTCTTTGTGAAACAACCCATTGGTCTACAATGTTTCATGGATATACATGTAAGCTTCCTATTCATTTCAATACTCACCTCTGTTTCTTTTCTTCCCAGCATTCCTAAGAAGTTGAATGTCCCAACATTAATGCCTTCCTTGCCATCCACAACAAGCTTGTTGTTGCCTTGCCTATAAACATAAAAATAATAAACAGAGTTATTAAAAACAATGATATATCGCTGCATAAAAGCTTCTGAATCCAAAGAGGCAAAGAAATCTAGCTTAATGATTGTATCTCACACAGCTACAGACCTGCTACCTTTTTTAAAAATTTACATTGTCAGCTTTTTCCTTAAATAAATCATGCAAGGAAAATTCTAAAATAGAAATTGGTACCCGGTATTCAAAAGCAAAATTTCTTTACTGAAGTTAAGAAACAAAAGGGTTTTCAAGATAATTAGTCTACAAAACAGAATAAATATTCATAAATAAATCAAAGTTACAATAATATATAAGCAGACTAGGAAACCACATGTCTACTATTTTATGAAAATTATGAAAGACTTTGTTTTGATAAATTCAATAAGACATCATTATTCAAGTTGAATTCCTTGAAACAGATTTAAAAAAATGTCCTCAATGAAAATGCTACTCACTTGGTAATGACTTTATAGTGGAGCGCCGGATGGTTTGGGTCTACTGGTGGGACTAGGGGTTCTGGTTCCCACTCCTGGACGAGCTGTTCTCTTTCCTGTTATTGAAAGAGGCAAATAATGTATGATAACATGATCATATTTGACTATAATAATAATATTCAGTTCTTGTATAGCGCATAATGTGTTATGAAATAACATCTCTATGTGCTTCCAAAGAGCTTTGGAAATTATTACCCTAGCTTTACATTATCTAATGATTGTTAGTTTGGAGAAAGAAAGTGATAAAAATTAGTTTTCATATCTTTGGGGACAAATTTGACTCTAATACAAAGTACATTTTCATAACTCAACCAAGAAATAAGAACAAAAGCAAAAGATGGAAAAAATAGATGTATACATTGCAATAATTGAATACCTTGGAGGCTTTCCTTGTTAACATGATAGCAACTTTTTTCAAAAAATCATCTCAAGGGCAATTTCAAAAGTCAATACCGGTACCCTATTGTACATCCCATAGAAATCATGTGTAAATGATATAAAACCTGATTGTCTTGATGTACAAGGCTATTGAAATTGTCTTGGATTGATTTTTCTAAAGTAGTTGTTATCATGTTATTGAAATGATTTTATTTCCGCCCACAAAATGGAAAAATAACTCAGCTGATATAATTTTTTTAGATGACCCACGTGCACAGATTTTGGGCTGATGTGTTTTCTTTTTTTTTATATGTTTTATAATTATTATTCAGTACACAAAAACCTCTAAATCTTTTTTTTTTCTTTTTCTTTGGTATGTCACTGTCTTCTTATAATTTACACAACGAAATGATGTCAAACTCTTTGTTTGCTTGGATACTTACTGCTTCTGTCAGCTTGACGGTTGACTCAATTGAGTAGCTTTTTGAGAAGATCAGGCGGATGATGAAGACAACAAGAATTACCTCAAATGCCAAGTGATAGAGCGGGGCCTGTGTATTGAAGGGGAAAATAATCATTATTATGTATAGGATTAGGAGGGGTGGTAAAAACCTCTTCAGCTAATGATAATGGATTGTGTTAATGGCCTCCAGGAGACCGTTACTTGCTCCCTTTAAAGTACAATTGCACAAGAAATCAAAGGCCTTGCAAGAATTAATTTGACAATGGGTTTAAGTAAAGGCTTCTGCTAGCACAAGAAAATGCTTAGAAACATACAGAAACTTTACATATAAAATGACTATAACAATTAGTTTGGTGTAAATAGGCACACAAGAAATTTGTTGGATTGATTGAAACAGCAAACGCAAGCCTCCTTACACCAATTGCTGTTGTTGTAAAGTCAGCATCAAATTGGCAACATAAAATCAGCCTTTTTACATGCATCTCCAGCCAGAATCAACATCACAAACTAACGGGAGAAGTCAACGTTTTTGTCATCTAAATCGCATATCAGTTCACGTAAACAGGATTCAGAAAACTAGAAAAAGAATTGTTTCTTCCGTCTGTAACAATGAGTGGCAAGGACTAGTCTAGGGTCTAGTCTAGTAAGACACTAGCACACACACACCCCAAGTATAGTACGATAATACTCTGTAAAGAGGTCTGTAGAGTCTACTCAAATTCAAAAAGGAAGAAGAAGAAGAGGGAGCTCCGTCGTCGGAGATCCCTGGAGGAGTTAGTAAAACACAAAATAAATAGATAGGGTCTAGATAAAACTATTTTCATTAGTCAAGACAATTATTTATATCTTATATCCTTATATTTAGTGGAACAACTTTAGAATACCCCACCATGCGAATTGAAGGTTTTTTTTTTTGGTCCGCCAACCCAACGCTTCAACTTGTTAAAGTAGTACTACAACTTGGTGCCGAGATATAGTCTTGAATGGAAATCGCAATCGTGCCGCGAACGTGCCAACGAGCCAACATGAGTTGAGAGACTTGAAGTTAAATCGCCAACGTGCCAACGTGCCAACGAGCCAACATATGAGTTGAGAGTCTTGAATTTGATATCGCCAACGTGCCAATGTGCCAACGAGCCAACATGAGTTGAGAGTCTTGAAGTTATATCGCCAACGTGCCAACGTGCCAACATGAGTTGAGAGACTTGAATATATATCGCCAACGTGCCAACGTGCCAACGAGCCAACATGAGTTGAGAGTCTTGAAGTTATATCGCCAACGTGCCAACGTGCCAACATGAGTTGAGAGACTTGAATATATATATCGCCAACGTGCCAACGTGCCAACGAGCCAACATGAGTTGAGAGACTTGAAGTTAAATCGCCAACGTGCCAACATGAGTTGAGCGTCTTGAAGTTATATCGCCAACGTGCCAACGAGCCAACATGAGTTGAGAGACTTGAAGTTAAATCGCCAACGTGCCAACGAGCCAACATGAGTTGAGAGACTTGAATATATATATCGCCAACGTGCCAACGAGCCAACATGAGTTGAGAGACTTGAATTTATATCGCCAACGTGCCAACGTGCCAACGAGCCAACATGAGTTGAGAGACTTGAATTTATATCGCCAACGTGCCAATGTGCCAACGAGCCAACATGAGTTGAGAGACTTGAAGTTAAATCGCCAACGTGCCAACGTGCCAACGAGCCAACATGAGTTGAGAGACGTGAATTTATATCGCCAACGTGCCAACGTGCCAACAAGCCGAGAGACTTGAAGTTAAATCGCCAACGTGCCAACGAGCCAACATGAGTTGAGAGACTTGAATTTATATCGCCAACGTGCCAACAACGAGCCATAGTTGAGAGACTTGAATTTAAATCGCCATCGTCTTGGAAAAGGGCTTATGAGAATGAAAAGAGACCGTTTTCATAAATGAAAAGGAGACTGTTTTCATAGATGAAAAGGAGACTGTTTTCATAGATGAAAAAGGGCATTTATGAGAAAGGGAAGGGGCTCTTTTTTAAATGGGGGCGCTTATTAGAAAGGAAAGGGCGCACATGTGAAGATATAAGGTGCGCTATCAGATTTGAATAGGGCAATTATCAGAGGTGAAAAGTGGCGCTTGTCGTATCTGAAAAGGGGCACTTAAATTATTACAGATTATAAAGGGCACTTATATGAGAATGGAAAATGAACACTTATTGCAAAATAAAATGGGAACTTGTCGAACGAAAAGGGGTACGTGTAAAGAAGAGGGGGCACTTTTAAAAATTAATAGGGGCACTTTTCCAAGTAAAAGGGGCACTTCTTACAAAGTTAAAAGGGCACTTTTCCTGTTTTAAAAGGGGCACTTTTGGAGAACTTGATAAAGTGGGGGGGGGGGCACTGTGCCCCCTCCCGGGAGCGCCGCCTCTGATAAACATAGATACAACCATCACACATAATTATGTTTATATACTTTTATAAACGGAAAGTTTCGCTTGTACCAGTAAAATATTCGTCTAATAGTAAAATATCCTAAGCACTAAATGACTAATCGAAACTGTTTTATACTCGACCAAATATAAAACGTTTTGTTAACTATAAAGGTCAGGCGATATTCATCCTATTTCATATACAATCATATGAACGAATTATCTCATGACTGCTCTCCTCATTTGGTAAGTGGGTTATTTACATAATATGTTTGCCATTTTCTCTGTTATTTCTCTGTTATTTTGGTTTACAAAATATTAACGCTGTTGATTTACTTCAACTGCATCGAGAACACATGTGTCCCAAAACAGTGGCTCCGAACCAAAGTCGTCGCTATCCTCAAGCCAGGAAAGGACTCGAACGAAGCCAAGAACTTTCGACCGATCTCGCTCCTGTGCCAAACATACAAGCTGCTTGAACGCCTTATTCTCAACAGAATTGGGCCTCACGTTGACAGCCAACTGAACTGTGAGCAGGCAGGTTTCCGACCAGGAAAATCCACCACGGGACAACTTCTCAACCTGACCCAACACATCGAAGACGGTTTTCAGAACAACCTCATCACAGGTGCAGTATTTGTGGATTTATCTGCGGCTTATGACACTGTCAATCACCGAAGGCTACAGACAAAACTTCATGACATCACAAATGACCTCAAACTCACCAGATTCATTCAGAAGATGATGCAGAACAGACGCTTCTTTGTCGAACTGGATGGGCAGAAGAGCAGATGGCGGAAACAGAAAAACGGTCTCCCCCAGGGTGGCGTCCTGGCGCCAACACTCTACAACATATACACTGCTGACATCCCTTCAACAGAGAACACTCGAAACTTCATCTATGCAGATGACACCTGCATCACAGCCCAGCATAGTACCTTCGAAGCTGTTGAACTCCATCTCAACACAGCGCTCGCAAGCCTTTCGGAGTACTACAGAGCAAACTACCTACGGGCAAACCCATCCAAGACTCAGGTGTGTGTTTTCCACTTGAAGAACAGGGAGGCAAAGAGAGAACTGAAGCTAAAGTGGAACAATGTGCAACTTAACCACTGCGAGCATCCAGTGTATTTAGGTGTAAAACTTGACCGCACTTTATCCTTCAAGAAACATATCGAGAAGACAATACGCAAAGTAGAATCTCGAAATGCCATCATCGCGAAGCTAGTATCTTCACACTATGGCGCTGACCCCAAAACTGTACAAAGTGCAGCTGTTGCTCTATGCATGTCATCCGCAGAATATGCTTGCCCAGTTTGGAGCAGATCAGCCCATGTGAAGAAGCTTGACACCACACTCAATAACACATATCGAAAGATAACAGGATGTCTGAAACCAACAAAAGTTGAGGAGATATATCACCTCGCTGGCATTGGATCTCCTAACCAAAGGCGCACTAACACCTGCCTAAAGGAACGGATGAAGCAGGCGACAGATGACAGACACATGCTACACGGATACTTACAACCCCACAAACGACTTATATCCCGACACAGCTTCCTCGATTCTGTCCCACCACCTGAACAGAATCCTCCACCATCAGTCAAGCCCGTACTCATCAAAGGTCTTAACCTGAAGTGGCCGGAGTGGCAATGCCTAAATCGAATGCGGACGAGAATGGGACGGTGTAAGGTCAATATGGCAAGATGGGGCTATGCCCATGAAGGAGATACTCTCTGCGACTGCGGAGAGACTCAGACGATGGACCACCTCTTGCAGTGCGGCGGAACGGGTTGCACAGATGAAGACCTGTCCCTTGTTAATGAAACGGCCATTGCAGCAATCGAGCGATGGAAGAACTTAATTTAATTTAATTTACTTCTAAGTTAAGGAACTTTACATTACTATCTTGATCTAAGGAGACACGAACGAACGAACTGCAATTGATTGCTGATACTGAGTGATAAGTTATACTTATAATGATAGTGAAACAAGGCATTTCCAGAATCTGTAGTAGTACCTAGTAGTAGTACTACTACTACTACTACTACTAAAGTTCAAAGCTTGCGCGCTTCGCGCGAGAGGGGAAAACTGCTTTCAGACAAGGATTAAGAGTCGAGAATGGTACAACGAATCGTCTTCTTTCTCTAAGAATTTATTGAAACGTCAAAGCTTGCGCGCTTCGCGCGAGAGGGGGGGGGAAATGATTTCAGACAAGGATTAAGAGTCGAGAATGGTACAATGAATCTTTTTTTTTTCTAATAATTTCTGAAAAGTCAAAGCTTCCGCGCTTCGCGTGGGTTTTCTATATCCATCGCTCCTTATGTATTTGTTTAAAACTTCTTTTATCTTCTTTTTCTAATTTCCTTATGTTATTCTTTATTTCTCTTTCTTTCCCATTTCCATTTTGCTTATTAGCACCTGTCTTTCCTTAAGGTATTTTTTATTTCCTCCTTCTTTTATATTTTCTTTCCATATTATTATTTTGTTTAATCTTCCATTTCTATCTTTCCACAAGTGTTTCTTTGTTTTAAACACCCAAGGACACCGGGTCCCCGTCACCCTAGGCGCCGGAGTTTGCGTTACCCTAACTCTCACCCTAACCCTAACCCTAGGACACCGGGGTTGGCGTTACCCTAACTCTCACCCTAACCCTAGGACACCGGGTCCCGCGTCACCCGAGGACACCGGAAATTGCGTTACCCTAACTCTCACCCTAACCCTAACCCTAGGACACCGGGTCCCGAGTCACGTACCCTAGGACACTGGGTCCCGCGTCACCCTAGGACACCGGAGTTTGCGTTACCCTAACTCTCACCCTAACCCTAACCCTAGGACACCGGGTCCCGCGTCACCCTAGGACACCAGATCCCGCATCACCCTAGGACACCGGGTCCCGCGTCACCCTAGGACACCGGGTCCCGCGTCACCCTAGGACACCGGGTCCCGCGTCACCCTAGGACACCGGAGTTTGCGTTACCCTAACTCTCACCCTAACCCTAACCCTAGGACACCGGGTCCCGCGTCACCCTAGGACACCGGATCCCGCATCACCCTAGGACACCGGGTCCCGCGTCGCCCTAGGACACCGGGTCCCGCGTCACCCTAGGACACCGGGTCCCGAGTCACGTACCCTAGGACACTGGGTCCCGCGTCACCCTAGGACACCGGAGTTTGCGTTACCCTAACTCTCACCCTAACCCTAACCCTAGGACACCGGGTCCCGCATCACCCTAGGACACCAGATCCCGCATCACCCTAGGACACCGGGTCCCGCGTCACCCTAGGACACCGGAGTTTGCGTTACCCTAACTCTCACCCTAACCCTAACCCTAGGACACCGGGTCCTGCGTCACCCTAGGACACCGGAGTTCTCGTTACCCTAACTCTCACCCTAACCCTAACCCTAGGACACCGGGTCCCGCGTCACCCTAGGACACCGGATCCCGCATCACCCTAGGACACTGGGTCCCGCGTCACCCTAGGACACCGGGTCCCGCGTCACCCTAGGACACCGGGTCCCGCGTCACCCTAGGACACCGGGTCCCGCGTCACCCTAGGACACCAGAGTTTGCGTTACCCTAACTCTCACCCTAACCCTAACCCTAGGACATCAGGTACCGCGTGACCCTAGGACACCGGAGCCCCGGAGTTTGTATTACCCTAACTCTCACCCTAACCCTAACCCTAGGACACCGGTTCCCGCGCCACCCTAGGACACCGGGTCCCGCGTCACCCTAGGACACCGGGTCCCGCGCCACCCTAGGACACTGGAGTTTGCGTTACTAACTCTCACCCTAACCCTATATAGGACACCGGGTCCCATTTCTGTTTGATTTTCTTCTTCTTTTGCAGTTTTACAAATATATAACAAACAAAACATTTTATACATGACAAAATAGTATATGTAAAACAAAGTAAGGTTGGCTGTAAGTAATCAGAAACATCAATCAGTTTTTATTGCTTGATTTTCTTTTTCTTTTTCAGTTTTACAAATATATAACAAACAAATCGCATTGAACATTTATACATGACAAAAGATTAAACAAAGTAAGGTTGGCCGTAACTAATCGAAAACATCAAACAGGAGGGTTGACAAAGTAAGCAAAGCTTGATAGTATGACTACCCTCAATGGATACATAATAATACAAATATGGAGACAAAAATATTGGTAAAATGGAAAAAAAGAAAGAGGGAGAAAAAAGGGGGAAAAAAGAATTAGGAGGGGGTGTACATCAAAATGTACAGATTTTTGTGGTAGATGGATTTCTATTGATATATTATGGTTATAGTATATTATTCTTCTTTTCCCCTTTTCTTGTTTTCAATTTGTTTTACCCACGACCACTTCTTCTTCTTTTTCTTCTCCTTTGATCTTCATCTTCTCAATTAAACCACAAAGATATTTATGGTTTTCTTTGAAGGCGTCACTGTGCAACACTCTCTAACAGTGATTAACAGTAAATTCTCCCAACGTTTTTTTCTCTGAAACTAAGACATAAATCAGGCTTTATAAAATCTTAACACTATATTGAGCCAATTCATTGCTTTGCCGATTTACATTCACCTAACGGTTACCATATGCGCATGCGCACCCTTATTATTATCATTATCATGTAGTATTATTCCTCAATCAATTCCCCTTTCTTTTGTTTTCAATTTGTTTTACCCACGACCACTAGGCCCTATTGTTCTCCGATCTTTATCTTCTCCCATTTCTCTTATTCTTCTTTTTTTATATTATCAATAATGATAATATTAATAATAATAATGATAATAATTCTCTTTCTCAATATCTCTCTTCGGACTATAGACTCTTTCTATTGGTCTGTACTTCATTCCTCTCTCCTTTGACGACTTTGCCGGGATTGGGTTGTCTGCCAACGATCCAACGATGTCCGCACTGTGTGACGTCACCACCCCCTGTGCGTATAGCACATCGTTGGTCGTTGGCTCTCACCAAGAAGGTAACTTTATTGCTCTCAACAAAACTTTGCCGAGATTGTTTTGCCTGCCAACGGTCCTACGATGTTCAACGAGGCGCAGGAGGGGGGGGGGGGGGGGAATAATAATAAGAGTCTGTAATGATACATTAAAGGTACTATGTCCCATTTGCAGGCCAAACAAATGAATAAGTTAAATTCCAACTGCATTTGAAAGATAATACTAATCAGAACTTCCCTAAAAAAGGTGGGGCTTGAAAATGTCTTCAAGTGGGAAAATAACGACTATTAGTTATCAAATCGACTTTAGGGCTATAGAGCCCAAAAGTAATAGTCTTGATTTTCAGACAATTGTACCGAATGGTCATACATTTTATGCTGCGCAAAGATTCAATCAGTTTAATCTTGGCCATCACAAGAAGTGGGTTATTGATGTAGGCAAATGCTCATGTACCCTTTACAACTCTTTTCATGTATGTTATTACCAAAGAAGAAAAAAAGCCAGTCAGTCACTCAATAGTGTCTGACAGTGAAGTCTAGCAAGTAAACGGGTTTCCATGCATAATTTGAATATGAGGACACTGCTAACGTTTAAATTTCACAGATAGGACATACATGACATATTCATAATTCCTGCAAAGTTCTACAGAATTTGAGGTTGGCTGCAAAAGGGACATAGTACCTTTAACAAATCGTCTTCTTTCTCTAATAATTAATGAAAGCTAAAACCTTCCGCGCTTTGCGCGGGGGGAGGGGGGGGGACCGATTAATGAAACACCAAAGCTTCCACGCTGCATGCGCAGGAGCTATAGGGGAAACCTGACTTCAGACAAGGATTATATAAGACTCTTAAGAGTCGAGAATGGTACAATTACGAATCGTCTTCTTTCTCTAATAATTAAATGAAAGGTCAAAGCTTGCGCGCTTCGCGCGAGAGCAGGGGGGGGGGGGTTGGGGGGAACTGAATTTCTTCCCCCTTTACTTTTACTTTTAGGCTACCTATTTCCTATATTATTTTCGTTTGGCAATGAGGGACGGGGGGCCAACGTGCCAACGCGCCAACGCACCTTATTTCCTTTCTTTGTTTGCCATGTAAAGGACACCATAAATTCCCGTTTTTTTTTTTTTCCACTTTATTTTTAGGCCACTTTTCGACAGTAGTTAGACCTACATTGATTTCTGACGATTTTCAAGCAATATCAAGGGTAAAACATTACAACTAAGGTGAGAACATCTTTAACAAACTATAAATAAAATACTTTGATGTGTAAGAGGTAATAGGAAGGAGTTAAAACATAACAAATAACCATATTTCCATTCTCGAGTTGATGTGATGGCAAATTCAGAAACTGGTCACGAATACGAAAGGAAGGGACTACACTAAATTGGTACGTTGGCACGTTGGCGACCAACGGACATACTACGTTTGGGTGGGGTATTCTAAAGTTAAGCCTATTTAGTAATCGTCGTAAGCGTAAAATCAAATAAAAGTTGTTGAAAAATCGTGATGCTACTTTAATTTTGTAAATAGGGTCTAAAGGTAACAACAAAACATATAATGTGGGACCGAGGAGAACCTCGCCCATATTATGGACTGCAAACACATGATATATTCATTGATATAGGAGGAAATACATACCTGTTTGAAGGCTTCAACGAGTTCTGCAAAGTTCCATGGCTCTACCCCAAACTTCATAATTGCATCAGCCATTTCTTGTTGTACAGTAGACAATTAAACAGGAGAAGATGAACGCCTTTGTTTTGTATAATTTTGTAGGCTCAGCCGGTAAATTTCGTAACTGTGATGTCGCCCTCTAATGTTCAAGTTTGAGGGAAGAAAATTATCAATTTCTCACAGTTCAGTGTTTGTTCACGGTTGCAGTCTAGTCTGAGCATGAGCAGATAAAGGTCATTGAAGAACAAATTTTGAAATACACGGAGAAGAAATACTGAATACGTGATCATGAACGTTATGTAATCATTATTCATTCATGCACAAGCAGTGCACTCCATGATACACAGGTGGAAGTATTCTTTAAGGGGAAACAAAGGCTATATATAGCACCTCCATCGCTGTAGGAGTGATTATTTCAAAATGTACAAAGTGCACAGTTGGAGCCAGTGGCGGATCCAGGGGGGGGGGGGGGGGGGGGGGAGGGGCGTTTTTTTCAAATTTTTGGGAGCAAACAAAAAGGGATGAAAAGGGCCCAAAATATGTGTCATAATTTGGAACTAGACTAATAGAATCCATCAAAAGCAGATCCAAGATCCTCAGTGTTAAATTGGGCATAAAAAATGCATTCTGGATACATGTATAATGAATTAATAATCTATATACAAACTATAGCCTATAATGAAAACAAAATGAGCACCTTTATAATATTTTGACTGAGCTGAGGTTATGCAGCTCTGCCCACCTTTGCTTTATGGCTGCCCAGTACCGTGAATGAGGAACGTGAATGACTAGAGTATCAAGTACAATTGTCATGTATTTGAATGACATTCGTAAATCTGTTAATCAGTATTTTTACAATTTCATAGCTTACAATTAAGTTGAGCTCGTTCAAAAAGGAATGAATAGGCCTAAACCAGACTAAAATCTAAAATGTGGCCTATTGTAACAAAGGATTGCGTTTAGGACACATCGTTCGCGCTCTACATTCAAAGAGCCAAAGGAATTTAGTTGCACGCCCTGAACGCTCGAACGTGATTGGTTCGCCCTGCACGAACCACGTGATATATTTTAATGACCCATTCAAAGAAACCTCTGAGGCGAGGTTACACACAAGATTGCAAACTATCGTTTGGAGGTTACTTATCAATTGCTTCGTTTCGTGGACTTTTTACTTTGCGTCAGTTAGTTCTTACTTCACCTTGTCGTGAAGGATGGCTTACCAGTATGGACTGTCAAAGTGCGGCTGGTGCACCCGCGGAGGTTCTCGGTGCAAGAGCAAGGCACCCCTGCGTTGGATATGCATTCTTGTGCTGGCAACACAGACAGTAAGGAAATATTTTCCTAATGATTTATTTTACCAAACACTTAATATATCCGTTGTAAATCGGTCGTGGGTAACATGTGAGGATTCTGGGAAGCACACAATCTAGTTATTCTTATCCTTCGATCTGTTCAGCGCAGTCCACCATGAGTCGTACTGTTATAAGTAGTTTCAAAGGTGATAGAACTATTGTTTCCCTTTTCTAAAATCACGTCTGAACTCATTTTTGAGGCCCTAAAAACAATGATACTTGGTCTTTTATGAAAATGATTTTGTTACCAATCATTCTAAACTGCAAATTGATGTGCATTTCTAAACATTGTAGAAAACTGCGCAAATAATGCAGATAAATACATGATTATAATTGTAGATTTAAATTATTTGTTATGCCGTTCACAATGAGTATGAAACATAAAAATATGGGGAAGACTTCCTTTTGCGACAGGCACCCAAATTGAAGTAAAATATGGGTATAGCTAAGTCCGGGAACTTTTTACTCGCACCATGTTAATAGCATTGCACCATGCACACACACACACACACACACACCCACACGCACACACACACACACACACGCACACACACACAGTCTGAGGAATCTTCAACTGTGAAGGAGGTATAGACTTAACCCAAAGAAGAAGAAGAAGATAATATCTAATAATAATAGGAATAATAATTTCCACCCCCCCCCCACCCTTCCTGGATCCGCCACTGTCTTAAACAGCACCCTTTAAAAAATCCTGGCTACGCCTATATTGTAAACGGATGGTCAGCTCTGGTGAAGCTACATACCACTGTCTCTTGTTAGCTCACTAATGATTGACAGATGATGTCACAAGATGAATGAGATCTGGAGCTTTTTTAGGGTGGAGCTTAGTAGGTCTGAGAAAAATATTTAACAATCTATGAAATATATTCGGATGTTTGAATAAAAAAAATATGAGAGGTATGCAGCCCTGCACATCAAGAGGAATCAACTTATATTTGGATATCACCCGATATTTAATATTATATTTCCACTCCCCCCCCCCCCTCCCCCTTCTCTCTCTCTCTCTCTCTCTGATTAGATATTGTGCTCTAATTTCAACATATTTACTGCATGAACTTTCTTTTCTGTCTTACTTTTATGTATAATGAATAATAATGATTTCTTTTCTGTCTGTACCCCCTCTCTGTTGATTTCTCTCATTAGGACTTATAAGTTAAAGATTTACTTGTTTGAATATCCTATTTTAGATTCAAATAACGAATTATCTAATCTTTACTATAAATCCTTTTCAAATCTAGATTTTCTTATTTGAAAACTGCCAATGTCCATTAACATCTTCATTGTACTGATGCTGATACTTTATATTAGATTCAATTGAGCAATTAATATTTCCCCTCTTGTACTACTTTTAATTTCAATTAAATCAAGACTTTCCGATTTGAGTACTTTATATCATATATTCAAAAAAGGAAATAGTATTCACCTCTTTTTTCTTCATGTTGATAATACACGATTACCGAAAAATCAACGTAGGCTACGGTAATTTCGATAGCCTTGTACACGCCTATTGAAACATGAACATGACAATTACTATTGCTTAACCTGGACATCATTTTGTAAAGGCAAGTCAATAGGGTCTTCAAATTGCCCCTAAGATGATATCTTGAAAGTATTTTGTGATCGTGTTAAATCCAGGTTTACTTGTTTTAATACTGAACTTTGAAGTAGGGTGAATATAATTGTAAATACAAACATTTGAACAATCTTTTTGATATTATTCCTCATCCACGAATGCTGAAGGCCCATTCCATTTATTTTGTTTGGTACCAACTATGAATGGAATGGGGTTTGAATTATTTATGAGATTTTATTGTTGAAATCTCGTGTTCTTATTTGTGTTCCTATTATTTCTGTCTTTTAGAATTATACAGATTTGCATGTTCAAATACTGTTCAACAGATACAAAATGAAATTTTGCCTCTTCATATCACTATTTGTGTTACATTTTATAGATATGAAACTATATTTACCATGATTTTGCCTTGTTTGAATGGCAGTACATTATTTTCACCATAACGATTTTCTTCTTGTTCTTGTGTATACTGTATGCCAGCTGTAAAGTAGGAACTATTCTATTTTTTCAGTATCTTAATTATATATTATTTATAGATTCGTTTGTATACTGTATTTAATAACGGTGAACAGAAACGATTACAATGAACATAAACAAATTGGAAAGTCACCATCCCACATAACTTTTCACCTAGGAATGATGCATACCCTATTTAAGGTAACGCTATATTTCTTGGTGGTTTTTTAGGGAAGGGGGAGAAGGGGGTAGGACTGATATTCGAATTCGTGTTCCTATTCACCATAATGTTTTATTCATTGTTTTTTCCTTTACCATATTCACAACAAACTATAATGTCGTATTCTATTTCTATTTGTTAGAACGTATTAAAAAAAAATCCCTCATCATTACTTCGTCAAATTATGACATGTTTAAATATTGTATAATATTCGCTTCATCATGGCATTTAGTGTAGTGTAGGAAGTGCCTGACTGGGAGATGGTGACCTGTGAACAGTGGCGTAGACAGGTTCTTACACCTGGGGGGGGATGACTGGGCTGCCAACGCTAGTGAGGGTGCGAAGCGCCCGAGTGAGGGAGCGAAGGGACCGAGCGGGGGAGGGTGTGGGAGGGGGCTGTCCCCCCTCCCACGGTAGGGAGCTTTTGCAATTTTGAACTTGAAATCGTGCAATCTGATGCATACTTAATGAGGTAAAATAACACACACAAGCGTGCACGCACACACACACATACTCACACACGCACACACACACACACACACACACACACACACACACACACACATACTACGCCTTGAATGGACAGACATACATCGACAAGATCTACACACCGTGGCATACGAATACAGAATGGACTGACACATAGTATTGCATATTGAACCACACTACGTATTTATTTATCTCTGTGAATTTTGCTGTTACACCTCTTCAGAAAAAAACCCAATGTCAACTGTGTACACGCAGGTATAGTCTTTGTTGTCTTGATAGGGGTATGTGGTTATGAATGAAAACAACCTCTGTGGCCATTTGTGAATAGAACACATAAACAACAAACAAATAACGATTAAACTTTGAACAATATGTCTGTTCATTATAAAGCATAATAATACGTACATACTATGCTTTTTTTTTTACCTCAAAGAAACAGGCATAGTATCCATAGATGGATATTGGCTGGCGGCTCATTAACATACAGATACAAAAAACATAAACAGTATCACTATGATCCATGGAGTAACAATACTGCTTTGTAAGTTTGTGAAGAAATCGGAACCATAACGGCATTGCATCGTTTCAAATTAGGGCATTATTTACTTCTATTTGATCTCAGTCTTATAATAGTAATAGTAAAAATAATAATAATAATAATAATAATAATAATAATAATATTAATAATAATAATAATAATAATAATACAAATAAAAAATAATACTAATAAAAATAATAATGCTAATACTAATAGGTTCCTTTTATCTCGCATTTCAAGACAGGGTAAATTCACACTGCGCTTTACATGAAACAAACTTCTTTAGACATTTCGAACTTATGTCTTCATGCATCAATCAACATACAATACAAAGTGCATCTTAAATAAAACAAAAATAAATAAATAGTTAACAATACATAAAAGATGTAGCTGCTGCAAGCTTAACAACAAACTAATGTATACCAGTCAGTCCTGATATCAGTATTAGTGTAACAATAGTCATATAGTGGGAGCATGAAGTTGAACA